AGGGTCCAGACCAGGCTGGTGAAACCCACAGAAACAGCTGACCTGAACAACGGGAAGCTCTTGGTCCCCAGACTGATAGCTGGGATACCAGCATGGGACTGATCCAGACCCCAGGAACATGGGTTTCAATGAGGAGACCTCGGAAATCTATGGGACCTCCTGTAGAAGTTCAGTACTTATCCCTAGCATAGGTGTGGACTTTGGGAGCCCATTCCACATAGAGGGATACTCCCTGAGCCAAGACACAGGAGGATGGGCCTACGTCCTATCCCAAAGGATATGATAGACTCTGATGACCCCCTATGGAAGGCCTCACCCTCCCTGGGGAGCAGAAAGAGTATTTGATAGATAGGGTTTTAGTTGTGGGGGGTGGTAGGAGAGGAGGGGAGGGAGAGGGAACTGGGATTGACATGTAAAACAGTCTTATTTCTAATTCAAATTTAAAAATATCAAAAAAACCACAAGTGACTGTTACTGTGATATAGTGGCCCACTTCTAATATATAAATGGAAGAAAATAAGAAGACATATATGTCATCCTCTCTAAGGCTCAAGGACCATTTCAGAAGAAGGAGGGGAGAGCTGGGGGAAGGTGTAGAGTGTTGTGTAACTATTTCCTCCAAAAAGAAGGGAGGGGTGAGCATTATGAGACTCAGGACACAAAACAAGGAGCTCAGGAACTCCTAAGCTCAGGAGGGCCAGAAAGTTACAAAGCTCATGAATGAATAATGAATGGCATTAATCATTAGCATGCCTGAATTCCTATTCACCTAGCCCAAGAAGAGTCATAGGTATCTTGTCCCCTTTTATCACTCAGAAACTGGACCAGGGCTACTGTGTAGAGTGGGGACAGAGGAACTCAGGCAGGGTTGCTTCTAGGCTCCAATGGGTATGAGGGAGAAAGGTGAACACCAGGACCGTTGCTCATCCTATCCTTGGCTCAGGTATGCACCTAGGACTTGGTTACATGGTGACAGCCACAGGAGAAAAGAGAGTTTTGCCAGATAACCTCACTACAGATTTGGAGCTTTAAGTCTCTATAATAGTGCCCCCCACCCCCGTGTGTATGTGTGTGTGTGTGTGTGTGTGTGTGTGTGTGTATGTGTGTGTATGCTTCTCTCCATGCACACACATGCATACATACACATATGCATGCACGCATGCACACACATTGGTTGTATCTTTCTGGGGAGTGATTAATACTTCAGGGGCCACCCTCTTACCACATCTCAGGGAGTACTAAAGGCCTGAGGTGGCCTCACACCTGGAAGAGATGAATTAATGACTGCCTCCATGGGAGCAGCATACACTGACCCACTGGAGAGAACCAAGGACAGAGAACTCTGTGGCATTTCCCACAAGCGAAATGGATTTATTCATTCTTGAATGAAGGGCAGCAGCAGCATGGTCCCTGGCAGGCAAGGCTGTGGCTTGTGGTTTCTGGAGCCTCAGGCTGGTGTGAGGGCAGGCAGCACTTTCCCAGCACACTGGCCAAAACCAACACGGTAGCCGTCTCCCTGGCAGTGACCTGAAACACAGTAGGGCATGATCAGCCACAGAGATACAAACTTCCTGGACTGAGTTGCTTCAAAGGGTGGACTTGGGCAGCATAAAGACAAAAGTGGCATTACTCAGGTTGGAAGCCAACCCATGGCTTTGTCTTTCATTTAACTCACTGCACACCCCCCACTGTAGTAAGAAATCCATGTGAGTCTGTTAAGGGGTATCAAGGATTTATTAAGCTATGACAAGGGGAAAATACACTCACCAATACAGGATATGGTAAATCCAGTTGCAGAGTCTCTTGGAAAGCTGTAGACCAGTCACATGCTGCTGACCTGGTCTTCACCACCCAAGAGAATGTGAGTCCCTCCCCTTTTCCTTTTAAGAGATCATGTCAGCTCAATGTGAGAAGGAAAATATGGAGAGAAATGAGATCCCAGCAGCCAGTGGAAGAAAGCTCAAGCATGGTACTGAGAAGACAGGAGGCCAAGAAGCCCAATGGCTCCCTGGACCCAGATGGGCAGCAGATCTTTGTGGTGAAGAATAACAGACACAGCGGCAGGTATGAGAGGCGTCACTATCACATGATTCTAGGAAATGGGTTTGTGTAACATGTTTCAGATGCCAAGACAAATCTCAACTAACTGTGAGCTGAAGGGCAGTGGGCAGAGAAGCACGAATCTCCAGGAACAGGTCGTTGCAGGTCCAAAGCAGAATGTCGGGTGAGGACAGAAGGCAAGGCTGGGGATTGAGGTCTGAAGCCACATGCCCAAACAGATGGTATTTGGTTACTTTCTTCTCCTATGTGGTTCCCTGCAGTGGCCATACTGGGGCAGGGGCCCAGGTTCAAATCCTGCCATTGCCTGTGCCCATCTGTGCGACCCTGAGTAAGGATGTGGATTTCAATTGTGGAGGGTATATATGAAAAATGAGGACTGGGTGCCCATGGGCACCTTGTACACATGTCATATGAACCACATGAGAAGCTACCACATACTCAGTCATCAAGGAGTGACATGGAGACTTGCCTCCTCATTGAGAAAGCAGAAAACAGGGAAATGACAAGATAAAGTCAAAGGAAGCCAGTAGGAAAGACCCAAAGAGAACCAAAGTGGGTCAAGCTGGAAGGCAGTATACAGGCCCTGGTGCCCCATGCCCCATCCCCAATGGCCAAGGCAAGATAAACCAAGGTGCCTGTGGATCCTGCTTCCCACAATCACACAGAAAGGGACTCTCCATGCCCTGTATGGTACAAACGTCAAGGACATCATGTGGCTGTCTGCCTCAGCCCCTAGGTCCTTTTTTCCAGGCCTGATAGCTGCCCAGACAAAACTACATTGCTAGAGGCAGCTTACTGAGGCTCTGTCACAGTGGCATCAAGAGAGCCAATGTCACTTTTTCTCTCTCCTCTCTTTTCCACATCTGCACTTCAAAAAGCAATTAAACTCAATCCACAGAACCACAGCAAGAGCCCGGGGTTGGCTGGCTGGTACTGGAGCAATACCAGACACAAAACTGGCATATAGCAGTTGGAGTACTTGCTTGACAAGTATTAGCCTTGGAGAGAGCAGCTCACAACAGGAACTGTATCCTGACTTTGTCATCTGTGTGATCTGCCATGATTCACCTCCCTTACACTCTCCTAGGTTTTTGACTTTGCAAAACTGACACATTTCCACAGGCTCTGGAGAGTAAAAAATGAAATCATGGAAGTAGACATACCTCCAACACAACTGGATTCAGCAGACATTTCATAAGTACAGTTGGCCAGGGTTAAGCCCCTGGGCAGTTTGCATGTGACCTACACATGTGGTCCCTACACTTCAAATCATCTAAGGGTGGCTTACAATGCCTAAGACGATGCAAATGTGATGTCAAGAGTTACACTGCGTGGCTCAGGGAATAATGACAAGAAAACTGGGTATTTTCAGTACAGACACAACCTATCTTAATATTTTCCCTCTAACTGGTTGGATACATGGACACTCAAGCATAGAGACCACAAGGCTGTAGCCCAGGGCATACCACACAAACACAGAATCCAGAAATGCCAGTAAGTGCAAGGGAGACAGATGGGTACTCTTGGCCTGTGGGGATTGGTGGTTCACACCTGTTATGATGACTTCATCGCCATCCAGCAAGAAGGTCCTGGTCTGCCCCTGGCCCAGATCGATGGCCTTTGTTCCCCTCCAGGACAGTTCCAGCATAGAGCCAAAGCTTCCAGGTTCCTTTATAAGAGAAAAGGGGGAGGGTGACATGTATGTATATCTTGGTGACATGATAGGTCAGCTCTAGTGTGGACAATACAGTGAGACACAGGGGCCCATAAAACCTTTGAGGCTACTGTGAATATGTCCTAGTGGCTCAGTAGGGTGTGCCTTCATTCTTCCTGTAAGCATGTTGTCTATTAAGGGTCCTCTGACCATAGAGTACCCAGAGACCTGATTCAGTATGCCTTCTCATTCCATAGACTGCAGCTCACAACCCCAGACAGTGCCATGCCTAACAGTATACCACTGGCAAGAGACTGTCTCCTCCTAGTCAACATAGCCAGGATTGCACAGAGTGAAGTCAACCTATTCACCCCACATCATCATTTCCAAAGTTGTGCACCCCTCTCCCCAGGCTCACAGTGCCTCAGGGGTAGATGAGAAGGATGCAGCTGTGAGGTCACCTCCTAGGAGGGAACGGAGGGTTAGATAGCATGGCTGCTGCTGTCTAGTGAGACAGCTCTGGTTCTCACACAGGTCTCTCTTGGTCATTGTGTATCAGGGAAGCATTCTACCCCCAACTTGCTCAACTTGCCTGTCTTCTGTTTGGTGACCCACATGAGTAGTTTGAGACTCACTGATCCACTGATGGTTCCAGAAGCCAGGAGGTCTCCAGGTCTCAGATTGCATCCATTAACAGAGTGGTGTGTGAGTTGCTGCAGCATGGTCCAGTACATATTCTGAGGGTAGCGACACAGTAGGACATGTGTAGGTATCCCACTTTCTGGGCAGGATGTAGTCTACTTGCTCCATACCTTCCCTGCCCTCCACACTCCAAGCATCCCTATAATTATGGCTGTCTAGTTTCAGTTGAGCTTTTGCCTTCCTCTAGTCTCTCTACAGATGACCTGTTGTCCACCTGCTAAGGTTCTGACCCACCTTGTCTACCAGCTCTAACTTTACTTCCTTTGGAACCTCAGCTCTCCCAACCTCCTTTTCTAAGATGTCTGAAAGCTGGGCCTTCTCAACCCGTTCTGTCTGCTCAGGCCTATATGTTCATGACCACCTCAGGCCTGGGAGTTCCCAGAGCCATTCCTGGTGGATTGGCCTTCCTGCAGTTCCAAGGCCTGGCTGACCCCATTCCCTGCAGGAATTGGAACTGATGCCACCCCCATAGGTGAAATGATTTTAACAGAATGTCAGAGCAGGATGGCAATGACAGGGTGGGGCATGAGACACTAGGAGGTCATGCATGCCCAAGCCTGCACAATGACATGGTTGCCTGTGTCTCCATTCTACAGCCATACTGGCAGGCAACAGATCCCTCAGAAGTGGATCCTTCCCTTGGTTCCTCCTCAAGCTCCTTACTTCTTTTAACTAGAAGGAAGGTTATGCAAAACAAATGCATCCATTCACAGAGTCTTTAAGTGTCCAAAGAACATATGAAGAGGTACCTAGCTGTGTTAGCCATTATGGAAATACAACTGAAGCCACCATCCCCCAATAGCTGAGCTGAAAAGGCAAACACTACATGTTCATACATGAAGTAGCAGAATTTCCTAGATGGCAGTAGTGGGAGTGTTCATGTAATGGCTAATCTCAGTTGCCAACTTGATGTAATCTAGAACCAAGTGGGTAAGAAAACACTGAGAAGGACTGTCCAGATTCAGCTGGTCTTTGGACATACCTGTGAGGGATTCTCTTGATTAGGTTAATGGAGCTGGAACATCTCAGAAAGCTATTCAAAAGTATTCCTAGTTATGCACTCTGCTTTGTGGTGTGTGTGTGTTTCTGAGTGTGAGTGTGCATTTTGTGTGTGTGTGTGTGTGTGTTTCTGAGTGTGAGTGTGCATTTTGTGTGTGTGTGTGTGTGTGTTTCTGAGTCAAAAGACATGTGGTATTGACTCACTACATATGTGTGTGTGTGTGTGTGTGTGTGTGTGTGTGTGTGTGTGTTAGTTATAACCCAGCAATTCTATTCCTGGATATGTACCCAACAGAAATGTGCACTCCTGTACTCCAAGAGATGTGTAATTCAACGTGTGACCAAAATATGGAAGCAACCAAATGCCCATCATCCACTCTGGAGCTGGCACAATTGCACCCTTTATAGCAACAAGGCAAACAAGTTCCTACTGCAAACACTAATGTGGCTGAAGCTCACAAATCCAGCAATCTCAGAGATCCTGAGATTTCATTGCCACAATGAAACCCAGCAGAAAAGACACACACTATAACCAACCCATATAAAACTGATAAACAGACAATGTCTTTATAGCAAGAGAAGCAAGGAGAGGTAGCCTGCCTTGGGGAAGTGATGGTGTAGCTGCAAAGAGGCAACAGGCTGCTGAGGGCGGGGAATTCCCCTTTCTGACATGGGCGCTGAATGCACAGGGTTGCTTGTTTTGTGAAATCTCCTCAGTCTCCACACTTAGATCTTTAGCATTGCTGTATCTGTACTGTATCTGTATATGTGTATGCTATTGTTTCAAACAAAACAAAACATCTCTGCTCTTTGGTGGCACTGCACTTAAGAACATATACTTCTCTAGCAGAGAACCTGAGGTGGTTTCTCCTTACCCATGTTGGGTGTCTCACAAGCCACCGTGTAACACCAGCTCCAGGGGAACTCCATAGGTGTTTATACATGTATGTGCATACATACATATATGCACACACAATTTTAAAATAATAATAAACATTTTTAAAGGTTTGACTAAAAAGTAAGTGGGCTGCTGAGCTGTCTCAGATGGCAGAGCTTGCTGCACAGTCCTGAGGGCCCAAGTTTGACTGAGTCTCTATGGCCCACATAAAAATCTGGGTGCAGTATGTGCCTGTAATCTCATCACTAAGGAGGGAAAGGCAGGAGGATCTCTGAGATTGCTGGCCAGCTGGCCTACCCACTCAGTAAGCTCCAGGTTCAGGGAGATACCGTGTCTCAAAAATAAAATGGAGATTGACTAAGGAAGACACCCCCCAGTCAACCTCAGGCCCCCACATGTGAGAACATATAGCACTTTCATCACTCCAGCCTGTGAGGACATGGGATACATAGGCTGGCCCTTACCGGATGTGAAATGTGCCCAGAAAACTTTGGCCACATCTATGTAGAAGCCTCCATGTTGACAGGACTCTGTGATGTCATGCATGTCTAGAAAGGAACAGGGTCATGGAGACTCCAGGCTTTCAGGTTGACCTGTCATCTAGGTGGATGCTACTCTCCTGTTTCTGTCACTTTCTTCCCTTCCACAAAGCAGTCTACTAGCCTCCAAACTCACCTTAAAATTGGACCTGCAGATGGTAGCCGCCTGGCTCATTCCTTCTCCTGTCAGAAATTGAAAAGTGAGACTTATGAAGATTCAGTCCCACTGGTCAGAAAGGAAATCTTCAAGTTGCTTCCACTTGTCTGCTATGATTTCACTTAAGTCTGTGGAATAATAAGCTTAGAGGGTATCAGAGCTGGGATATGCCCACCAAGGCCATCTAGTCCAGGAAGGGCAAATATGTGCACCTAAGCTATTTGTTTCTTCTCCCACATCCATAGCAAGCACCACTGAGAAGCCTGTATGCCGCTGAGTCTAGACATGACTTCAGAGTACCTCTTCCTACGATGCTCCTAATAGCCACCAGGCCACTGAAGACAATATAGGCTGAAACCTACATGTGAGCTTGATCAAGCACAGCCTGCTACTCTCTGGGTAACTGGTCTACCTGTTACACTTCTGTAATGACAGTGTAGTAGCTCACCCTTAACGCCAGTAGTCCTTACTAAGCATTTATTTCATGCCAGGGATCAGCTAGTGCTGCCATCTTCTGACGGTATGAACTACTAGAAAATGCTTCTGCCCTCAAAACCCAGCCCTTCCCTTGGTGCTCATTGCCCCTCTACAACAGGAGGTGTGCTCTGAAGCCCCAAAGCAGGTCAGGGTGCCCACATTGCTGCTTCCCAACCCTGCTATTCTGGTGTCAGCTTGGAAACTCAAAACTGAGTTGAGTTCTGTACGTCTGGATGCTGTGATTTCACTCCCATCAGTGCCCTTCACAGACACAGGGAAATGCCCAGAACAAGAGCAAGATAGGAAGGTGTTGCAAGGACATGTCTGTGAGTGAAAGCACTACCTTGGAATTTACAACTCTTCCACTTAGTTCAAGCTGGCCCTAGCCAGCCCCATGACTCAGGGTAATCTTCCTCTCTGAGTCTCAGTTTCCTGACTTGAAACATGAAAGGATAGGACCAGCAGTTTCTCAGGAGGTGCCGCTGTGGCTCTTAGATCTTTTCTTGATGGAGTATCAAGCTACTCAATCCTTAAGAAACTCACTCTTGAGGCTAGAGAGATGGATCATCGGTTAAGAGCACTGACTGCTGCTCTTGCAGAGGAATCGGGTTCAATTGCCAGCACTCACATGGCAGCACACAACTGTCTATAACTACAGTTCCAGGGGATCTGACACCTTCACACCAGTACATATAAAATAAATTTTAGATAAATTGTTAAAAAAGAAAGAAAGAAAAGTGCCAGGCAGTGGTGTCACACACCTTTAATCCCAGCACTTGGAAGGCAGGTGGATCTCTGTGAGTTCGAGGCAAGTCTGGTCTACAGAGCTAGTTCCAGGACAGCTAGAGGTATTACACAGAGAAACCCTGTCTCGAAAAAACAAACTAAAGCAACAATAAACAAATAGAGAGAGAGAGAGAGAGAGAGAGAGAGAGAGAGAGAGAGTTTCCTGCCACTCGTGAAGGCTGAAACCCAGGAACTGGCCATAAGGACACAGCACACCCTGTGTGTAATCACAGACAAAAGAAAGAAATCCAGGGAACAAGGAGCCAAGTAGAATTTGGCCTTTGGGAACTAAATGTGCCCTCCAGGCAAGCTCTCTTCCATCCTGGACATGAAGATGATACCTGTCCTTTCCTAGTTACAGGTTCTGTTCTAGGTCTAGACCTGGGTCTATGGATCAGTTTCCTTGGTCATCACCACTGTATAATAAAACCAATGCTATGATTCCCCTTTCACAGATGACAGTCTAGGGCATTACTTGGTAACTTGCCCAAGCCTCAAAGCTGGACAAGGGTAGAGTTGAGACTGGACCTCCATCAGGGCTTGCATAACAGGCCCCTCACACCAAAGCTCAGTCCATGGTGAGGCTTGGTGGAAGCAGACCATCAACATGGATCTCTGGGCTATTCAATCTGTGGCTCAGGACTGAGCCCTACTTCTCACAGTCCCATGAGCCTCTGAGATGAGGCTTTCAAACAGGTACTTGATGAAATGTACCACACATCTGATGTGCAGTGTAAGGTAGGTGGCAGTGACAGATCTGAGCAGAGACTAGGTACGACCCTGGCTGGAAGAGCAGAGTCAAACAGAGTGGAGGACCAGGGTTCCCATGTAGGACAATACTTCTAAACTGGAGGATGGCCCTCAAATTCTTCTTTTTACAGGAGTCCCACACAGGATCCTGACTGGAGCAGGCGCCTCTAGAGTTACCCAGTCAAAGCTCGGGACCCAATGGGGACAATGGCCCGTGCCCATGCCTGCCTGCTGAGCATGGGCAACACCATTCACCCTGCAACATACCTTTCAAGGCAACAGACAAGTTGATATCAAATGTGTACGGCTGCTTGTGGCAGAGATATGGCAAGGGCTTGGGGTCCTGGAGGGAAGAGCATATCAGAGAGGTGGCTATGGGGAGGGCTGAGTTCCCAGCAGCCTCTGCTCTCCAGCACAGACTGCCACATGGCAGCAGCATTTCTTCTCCAGAGACCCAGTCCCTGTGCACTGTCCATGGTTGGGCAGTAAGAATCAGGAGGTCACATGTGCTAGACTGGAGAAAATAAGCTGAAGATGGGGTGCATGAGCAGTTTAGAGGTCACAGGGCCAAAGGAACAATGCTGCAGGAAGCTGGGGGAGGGTAGGTTTGGGAAGGGACCATGGGAGGCAAGACGGTCCATAGAACTTGTAAGGAAAGGTTAGGACAATAGAGAGGACCAGGTAGGTGCCCTGGAAGGCAGAGTGCCTGGAAACAGTGAGTCTGCAGCCCTACTGGGTGCTGGAATACCTGAAGAGGCAGCTGATGGCCAAGCAGAGATGCCATACTTTGGGGAGAGGGGAAAAGCATTTCCCCGAAATGCAATACAAAAATCATTTAGCAGGACAAAAGACTACTCTGGGTTATTTGAACAGCTGTGTGCTTCTAATGGTGACAATGTGACTAGTGATGCTAGAGGGATTACAGATCCTTCCCAGTGCATGAAGGGTTAAGCCCAAAGTAACTTTAGCGTTACTTTGGAAAACAATGCTGATTAGTTGGAAAGGAACAAGAGTGGCAGCTATCTTGGGAAGGACAGAGGCAGCTGGGGTCTAGACAGCCCTGTGAAGATGGACCTGGAGGAAGGATGCTGAGGGAAGGTGTGGGTTACTGAAGGCAAGTGGCCCAATAGGTCCTGTGAGGACAGAAAAGAGGGTAGGGGTAGAGGGAGACAGACAAAAGGGAAGGAGACCAGCAGAGGGGAGAGGAGTGTGTTATGATGGGTACAGCTACAGAAGATC